AAAAGTTCGATCGAATGACGTTTTCTGGCAATGAAAAGGCAAGTTTCATTTGCTTTTTGCTGTAGTGAACCTCAAAATTATTTCTGACACGGTTGCTCCACTAAAACATATATCTTGCTATATGTGTAGGTCTGTACTTACCTTCTAACTCTTTTTATGACCAAGGTTATCAGAATATAAAGAAACTAGGAATGAACACAATTGGGAAATTCGTAGACTTGAAAACCTTCGCTAAAAAGGAGCATATTCAACCATTCGATGAACCTCGCCGTGTCTAGTCATATTATGGTGTGGTCTATAGAATAGACGCAAATAATCAGAAAAGAAGTCGTGTGTGTGCAGCATATGCGCTGCACATGGTCCCACGCGGTCCTCAAGGTGTGAAACGCATGCGCTGCACAATGTCGTCAACTGTTAAGCACATTTGTTTATGACCTCCCAGTCATGACGAAGGCTGAACACTCAAGTTCCCCACAGACTAAACCCTTCATGCATTGTTTTCAAATGATAAACAAGTGCCGATCTTTCGGCACCTACATTTTACAAATTACTACACACAGACGATAACCCATTCCGACACGCAATTTACAGTCCATTTGACAAGGTCTGGGGGCGATCTCCCGTCATCGTCCCTAATAATGAGAATAGTGCCCAATAAAGTGCCTTCCATGTTGAGAATGAAAATTTCGCACTATCAGAACGTACCCCTAATTTTCCCCGTCGAGCTCGTCTCCGACCAGGGTCAACCCTATGTTGCTACAAGTAGCAACGGGGGGGTCGTACTTGGATGGACCCAGAGGGGGGGGTCGTACTCTCTCGGTGGCCGGCAGCGGGATTTGTGGTAATGTCCCTACTGATCATAACCATGTTTCAGGAAGAGCATGAGAAAGGAAAATTCGCAGAAACAGCAGCTGCAAGACATGTAGGCATCGTACAAAAAAGTGCCCCCACCATGACATGGGTCCACGCACGTAACCACATTTGAAACTAAAGTGTAGCTGGAGTATTGCCTAAGACAACATGGACAATAGTCAGCACATTACGTTTACGCAAGATTATTGATGCTAGAGCGTTTATAAACCCCTTACTTTCGAATGGACCTTCCAAATGAATCAGCGAATCAGGAGTGCGACCGAGGCGTGGCGCACACCAGGACAGGGGATACCAGTGCAAGCACATGCACAAAGCATTCTGACACATCCTATCGTCAGCACGATCTCGTTTTCCCTGAAGCAGTGTTACGCGCCACTTGAAACCTAACAAATTCGCCCGCTATCTTGAAAGAGATTTAGGCGGTAGGAGAATGCCCTTTCAAAAGAATGTAGCAACGGGACTAATTTTTTAACTACTGACTTTTAAGAAACTTTTGGGTACTTTTTAGAAAGCTTGAATCCTGTAGTTTCTCATACCGTGTTCAGCTTCCCAAATAAATGAGTTTGAAGGAAGTTATGGTCGTTTAAAGGTTGAAAAGTCGCGGTTTCAGAAAAATAGTTCCGCGAACCCCCCTAAAATGTAGCAACGGGACTAATTTTTGAATTACTCACTTTTAAAAAACGTTTGGGTACTTTTTAGGAAAGCTTGAATCCTGTGTAGTTTCTCATACCGGGTTCAGCTTCCCAAATAAATGAATTTGAAGGAAGTTATGGTCGTTTAAAGCTTGAAAAGTCGCGTTTGCACAGAAAAAAGTTTCCAACGTGCTAAATTTTTACTAAATTAGCTTTCGATGAATTTCAGCCATGATTGGAGAGAGAATGATTGAATTTTTTAAATCAAATAACTCCGGCGCGAAGCTCGAATATGAAGAAAGTTATAGCCCTAAAAAGAGGAAGGTGAAAATTGTAGTGCAAATTCCTTTCTTGTTCAATAAATTAATCATTTCAGATTGTTTAAGAACAAATCCGCTCTAATTAAGAAGGATGACCGTCGGTGATCCAGAATCCACCTCCGTCTTCCGAGGAACCTGAAATTTCACGAGGAAAAATTCTTCTACTTCTCGATTTCCCCTTTCGACACCTGTTCCCCTTCAACAAACGCGCCCCACTGCGGTCACCGAGGGCGCGATCCACCACAGAAACGTAACCTGTCAAAAACCTGTCAAACCTTTAGCCCTCAGCCATGAGGTCCGTATCATAAATGACTTTATGTCCTAATTCCATGCCTACGCTGTTTTTCGGAATGGTAACTCGTCTTTTATGAAATTTGAACCGAAATTCAGCATTCTTGTCTAAAAAAGTTTTAATTCATATGATTATTATTGTTTAAGTAATCTTATCACCACTTGAGCTACACACAGGGGGGTCGTACCAAATCGCCCATGAAGGGGGGGGGGTCGTAGAAAAAATCCAAAAAGTAGCAACGATAGGACCGACCCTGCTTCCAACCAAGCGGCGAAACATAACGGGTGTACCATATGGCTGGTCCCCTTCTTGGAAGTGTAACGAAAAATTTCCTTTTGTCTGTTTTCCGAAACTTTCTGTATAGGGGTAAGCAGTGTCCTGATCACGAATATAACATTCTCTCATGGCACCAGCGCCATGTGGAGCCACAACATCTTTACTCTTGATATAGTGCAGAATAGCACCCTCGGAGTCAGTTTTATATAATAGATTGCATGAGGAATCGTATGGGCTTCAAGTTGTGGTTTTTAAACTCTAAATAAAAGCAGAACATATAAAATTCTGCACAATTCCATTTCCTGAAAAACTGTAACAGCCGGAATCTTTTTGGCAGAATACTTTCGAGCGGTCGTAGCAGCTATGGGGAAATGATAATAGATGATGTATATGTAGAAGCTACGAAATTCGTCTTCCATTAACGTCATTAAACTACTGAAGGGTTCGGCTGAGAAAGGTCTATGAATGAAAAACCTACGCAATGAGTGCATGCTTGTGTCTGGTCGGGAATATCGACGCAGAGTTGGAGAATTCGACGTCCGTGCTGTTCTCTCAGACTCCAGTGAATCACCGGACGTGCTTGCTTGCTGAAATCGACCTCAAGATCATTATTGCGGAAAAAGGTCGTTTTTATTTGAGAAATAAGTAATGTTGGAAAAGCTGCGATTTCCTATTGCCTCAGCGATGCGTACGTGTTAGCTCAAAAAGAAAACTTTTTTTATCGGCCCAAATCCGTACAAGAAGCCGACGGGTTCATTCCTGCCTTCCTTTGTTCTTAGAAGAGGCTTGAGTCTCCCGTATATTTGTTCGTAAGCTTGCTTGAGTCTTCTTGCTATTTCAAAGTGGTATTTCCCTTTTTCTCTGGCATGTTGAGGTTTCTGGGCAGACTCATTTTCAATTCTTCCCCAAGAACTTATTTCTACAATTGCCTGAACTTATTGTATACCGTTTGTTTTTGCTGACATGAAAGGTTTTAATCAGTATTTCAAGTCAGCGATAACCATCATGCAGTCATCTTGTTCTGTGAAGAACGTATGGAGACGTTCCATGAACCAGGGGACACTTCGATAGCAAAAGTAGGCGGTAGACTAGTAACCACTGAAATAAAGCAATTTCCAAATTCGAATGATCGAAACGATACCAAAGGGTGTCACTGCATCCGGTATTCTCTCCTCTTCCAGGTGCATATTTCGAGCGTGTTTTAAATTTTTTTTTGTTCCTGGACCAACTTCGACATTGTAGTAACACAAATAGGAGTGGTCTTATGGTCATCTCGACGATGGAGCTGCAGATTTCTACATGGATGACTTGTAGGTTGATTAGGTTCGGAACCTCTCGAACCACCGAGGAAAATGATCGTGTCAAACCGGCGACCAAGTGAAGATTTCAGCATGTGATTCTGTTAGGCACAGGATAACAAACAGTGCGAGGAGAACCCCAAATTGCAGAAAATTCGGCCAAGCACTATATTGTGAGGGAGCACCGTGTCTGACGACGAATTGGCTTTTATTGCCAATTCTTTTGTCCAAAATGACTGAAATATAAAGTTCCCGAAGTCGGCATTCTGATCACTAAAATGTTCTTTGCAGCACCGCGATAACGCGGAATCCGCGAATTTTAAAGGCCGCTCGAGCTCAAACCCACTTAAGAAGCCTTTTCCCTGCGTGCTAGGTGCGCAAGTGCAGAGGTGGTGCCACCTTTCTATATTGAAACGCGTCATGAACACGTTGACGACCGCCGTTGTGCGCGTACTGCTTCAACATTTTTCGTATTCTCTCATCAATAGGCATTAATCCTTCAGCGTTTTCATTATCAGTAATGAAAAAATTGTTTTCCGGATCCAATAATGTACATGGACCGTTGTGGAACAAGAAAAAACATCAAATAAAGTAAGTATCCTCAACGTGTTAATGCCCTAGGCGCCACGACCTTCTAACAGCACACGCCCAACTAACCTAACATGGTCCGCCCATCGTTCAATTTCGTTGTCTGCGTCGCACTTGATCTGCTTGCTCTCTCTACTCGGACTTTTCTACCGCTCTCCGCTCACATTATCTCTCATCTCCCTGCCTGCCTTTTGAACTTCTCCGCAGCGTAGAGCAAAAGACTATTTCCTGTGTATTTCACGATTTTAAGTTCCGTTTTCGTCCACATGTAGTCCACCTCTCACCTCTACTTTCATTTTGAGTAGAACCCATCAATTTTATCCTGATTCTTGCTGTTTAGGAGTCTCCCACACTATCGGAGAATGCCAATTGCATAGATTTCTATGCATTTGCTAAGCTCAGAAGCATCATCGACATAACCTAGAGGGCGATGTTGTTAGAGGAGGTCCAGAATTCTTAGATTAGTCAATTACGCGCGTGCTACCATGTGCTGTCTTTTTTCACTTTCAGTGTTTGTCGCCAAATAATCCGAGCCAATCTCATGCGAGACTTAGCGGAAGCTCTCTGCAGCCTTTTGTTGCATTATCTCTCATGTAATTCATTCATTGTTTGTGGTCCATGAGCTTTCGAAAAATCTCATCGCATCAGAGGCCAATCAATCAAATTGGATTTGCACGTCGTCGACATGTTGAAATGATGGATCAGAAAGATCCTATTAAATTCACATAGAAATTTTAAATACCAGTAATGTGTGCGAGCTGGGTTGTCGCGGCAAGAGAACAGGAGCCGCGACTTTGGGTGGCGAGTTGGTACGTTTCCGGAAGGAAATCCGCGACCTGGCATCAGACGACAGCGACTCACTTGATGACCTGGAACATCAGAACTTGATTCAGAAAAACTTATTAAGATAATTGTATTTGAGGAACAGTATTTGTGGATTGTTCAGAAAAAAAGGGAAAGGGTACTTTGTTAAAGGCCCGGCATTATAAAAACTCTGGAGATTTAAGATTCTTATGAAGCATCGGATGGAGAACTGGGTAATTGGATGTAAGCTTGAATTCCGAACAAAATTTCTACAACTGTGATGAACCAAGTCCACCATTGACCCTTACGAGCGATCAGAGTTCAATGCGTCGTTGGGCCCTGTGCAGAGCTGACACCTACAAAGCAAGGGTGGACTTGAAGCAGTGATAGCGCCCCCGTTCTGCATTAGATAGCACATGTCCCAAAAAACTACATCACGCATGCGAGACATTCTACTGAAGATGATATGGTCTGTTTTCTTATTGCGCCGTTCAATGAATGACGCCTAGATCCATGATTACAGGGCTTTTGCGACAGAGTGTGACTAACGATGGTGATAGTCGACATGATAAACTCGAGACAGTCTTTCGCCCTGCTCATTCCAATCCATTCCGTGAGTACCGATGTGAAGTTCTTCAGCCGTTCTTCTCGGGCCAATCTTGGCGTTGAAGTCGCCGACGATGACCTTGAAGAAGGTGTGGTCTTATCTGTAAACATCCAGAAATCTTGGAACGCTTCGAGCTCATATTCGTGATATCTTGATGTTGGTTGTTCATATCAAAGATTGTCGAAGCTGGTGTTGATCTGCATTTCCATCGCGTGTCTGAATCGAGTTGACAGATTTTCGTAAGAATCGATGGACAAGGCGAAATGCACGACGAGACGAGCATATCGCTCCACCAACGCCCCCACTGTCGAATGTCTCGTGGACAGTCCTTCTCCACTTTCGAAAACTAAGTCATCGTAAGGTTTTCGATAAGAGGCTCTAACAGAAAGGCACCAAAATTCTCCTAGGTCTCATTCTCGGCAGTGGGAACACTTGCATATCGAAACAGAACGGCAGGAAACAAGACTATGAGGAGTGGAAGTCATTATATTCTAGCATTGGCAGGTACTAGATCCATCGACGTCTGTGGGCTAACACACGGTGGGAAAGACCTTGGCCGATATTTGAGCTTCTATTGTTCCTGTATCTCAAGTTCGTTAATTAAACCAGTACGCTTCCTGTTAAGAAAAATGAGTAGTTTCCAACACTTTTTTGAATTACTGAAAATGTTGAGTTTGAGCTGAGATATGTTGCTTTGAAGACGGAGGTCAAAAACCGGCATTAATTTCCGGACAACCTAATATTTTCGTTGGTTCTGTGCAGGTTATTGTTTGATGATTCATACAGCGTTGTTGTTACTGCCTCACGTGTGCCTTCCGCGTACGTAATAAAATTATAAACTTGTAATAATAGCTGTTAGGAATCAATCATCAATCGTGAAAGTATTATAGTTCTTTTCTGTTGCACTAAACAGTCTAAGCATGCAACTCATGCGCGTCGCAACGATTCGAGCTCCCAGCATGGGTCACCACAATGAACAGACTGACTACGTTTTTCTTGGATCCTCACGACGTGCAGGCGGCTGAGCACTTGCCCCCAAGCACTCTGACCGCCTGCTACACCAGCAGTCGAGCGTGAGTAACGAGCTCGTTTCGTTTCCTTTGTAGAATCCTGTACATTAGGGTGTCGCTCTTGAACCGTACTTCACTTCCAAACTTTATTTCTCTGAGCCCAAATCTGGCGAGCTGATTTCGCACTCTGCCTAGAGGCTTCTTCGCTCGAAATAGTGCTATATTACGAGCGACTCCGGCGTGTTTTTTGCAAGCTTGAAGTCATAAAGTTCCAGTAGTCGGAAAACACAATTTTCATGTACTGAAGAAAGGCTAAAACAACGGATGTTCCTGATTTTGCATCAAGCCTCCGCATGAAAATGGAAGGGATGGCCATCCTTCACAAGACAACCTCAAAATGTCTGAACAGTTGTGTAAGAACTTACCAAAAAATGCAGGGAAATACTCGGAGTGCAAAACAGCAGATATTCTTTTACCGACCTAATACAATATGATTCCCGCGCGAGAAAGCATGACTTAGTTGCTTCCCCATTTAGCGTCAGCAACATTTTCTGATTGTGGAAAAAATGCTGTTTCGAGAGCGTTATGGCAAACCTCGTGCTCTCCGAATATGATGTCGAGTTCCTTGGTGAAGTTATGTGCACAATCGACTTCTGATTGATGCTTACCGAAGATTTTTTCTGTTTTGGTTGTTTAATGGGAATTGGCAAAACCTGAAAATAGTCCAAAACTGGCGAATATAATGCAAATACTTTTAGAACTAGTTAATTTTTAGCATACAGACCTTGTGAAATGAAACGCTGGAGGCTCTTCTGTCACTCTCCTTGAGCCGATCTTGCCCTCTGTAGACGGCTGCCTCGATTCCTGACCAAATCATGGTTTTATGCAATCAATCCTACCACCACTCCCACCACAATAATACTATTGAATAAACATTATAAATGTCATCACGCACCATCCAAAGCCTCGAGCATAGGTGGTGATGCGGCTTTGACAGAGTCGCTTGGTGGACCGCCTTGGTAATGATGAGTCGCGCGCTCGCCATCGTATTTCTGCTCATAGTAAAGCGCATGTCAAGACATTAGCAAACAGTGCTTTAAATTACTATGTTTCCCACTCACTGAGAATGATCCAGTCACTGAAGCAGCTAAGCGTCGTGCTAGCACAGCACTAACGCCGGCCCTTGGCTTTATCTGGATATCTTCCTTTGGCCGGACTAAGCCTTCCGGTGGGCTTTCTTCGAACTGGAAACATTCGGAGATTAGTATAAAGTGATTTTATCGGAATCAATGCAGGTAAGAGATCTCGTCCGCGTCATGGCCGCAGTAGCGGATTTAGCAAAGCGTATTGCATGCGCGGCATACAGCAGCGATCAAAGGTTCGGATGCTTTCTTATTTTTGACATAGCGCGGTAAATAAAAACAAAGTGGTCTAAAGTCAACAAATGTATGAGCAAAATTATGATGGGTATGCCCATTTCTAAAACGGGAGATTTTAAAGGCGATAAGCAACAAAATTTTGAAAGAAATTGACGAGTTCAGAACTTGTTGAAAACTCTTGTGTTCACCATTACTCACTTTCAAAGTATACACGAATGGCACAATACCATTACAGCAATCTTGAATGCAAAGTTAATCGGGGGTATAGTGGTGAAATTCTGGTCAAAAGAACGTGTTGTGGTCATGAAAAAGCAAGTTTTATTATATTTCTCTGCTATGGACGTCAAAATTATTTTTGACGTGGTTATGTAAAGATATCAGCTATTTTTATATTCGCTTGGGTTTGTATTTACTATACCACTCTTCTTTGATTACATGGATATGAGAATGCGAAGAAAGCAAAGACATCAGGGTGTTGAAGTGTGTAAAAGGCAGAAATGGTGTCATCCTAAGAAGCCAGCCGAAGTCAAGAGGAGGTGGGAAGAGTACTTCAGAGGGCTTCTGAACGAGGAGTTCCCCACAAGAACAACTCACGGGCAGAGGCCACAGCTGGTCCCATCGCACTCTGGACTGAGGATGAGGTTAGGTGTGCACTTGGGAGGAAAGGTTGGAAAGGCGGTTGGTCCCAGATGGGGTGCCAATCGAGGCATGGAAGGCGCTCGGAGAGTACGGCATAAGGTGGCTCACCAGCTTCCTGAACAAGGTAACAGTGGAAGGAAAGATGCCGGATGCATGGAGAACAAGTACCATCGTCCCCATCTTCAAGCAGAAGGGTGACGCGATGGACTGCTCCAACTACCGCGGGATCAAGTTGACTGCGCATACCATGAAGTTGTACGAGCGACTGGTCGACTCGAAGCTGCGGGAGCTGGTCCCGATCTCCCAGGAACAGTTCGGGTTCATGCCCGAAAGGTCTACAACGGATGCCATCTTCATCGCAGGCAAGTGATGGAGAAGTATCGAGAAAAGCGCCGACCCTGCTACCTAGCCTTCCTCGACCTGGAGAAGGCGTTCGACCGGCTACCGAGCAGTGCTATGGAGGAGGGAACGAAACGTGCCAGAACACCTGATCTCTCTGGTGAAGGACATGTACGAAGGAGCCAAAGCAGCCATACGCACCCCTCACGGCCTAACAAAGGAGGTAAACATCACGGTTGGGGTGCACCAAGGGTCAGCTCTGAGCCCGTTCCTCTTCCTCCTAACACTAGATGTCCTGGTGAAGGGGCTCATGGAGGGACCACTGAAGACCACGCTGACGACATCGCCTGATAGCGGATAGCAGAGAGGAACTTCAAGCCAAGGTGCAGAAATGGCAGAAAGTCCTGGCAGAAGGTGGGCTCCGGCTGAATGTCAAGAAGACCAAGTTCCTGAGCTCCGAAGAGGGTGCAGAGCCGATCGTGGACGGCCATGGTGAGACCATCGAAAGAGTGGAGGACTTCCGATACCTTGGGAGCGATCTGGCAGCCGACGGTAGTGTGGATCAGGCAGTGAAGGCTCGGGTCAACGCTGCATGGATGAAATGGAGGGAGTCCACTGGAATCCTCTGCGATCGAAGGTGCTCCAGAACGCTCAAAGGGAAGGTGTACCGGACAGTGGTAAGGCCTGCGATGCTATACGGCAGCGAGTGCTGGCCCCTGAACAAGAATCACGAAAGGCAGCTTCACTCCGCTGAAATGAGGATGCTGAGATGGGCCTGCGGCTGGACGCGGCTGGACAGGGTCAGAAACGAGGATGTCAGAGCGGTCATGCAGACTGCCCCTGTCCAGCTGAAGGTGCGAGAGCAGCGCCTGCGATGGTATGGGCACGTGCTAAGGAGGCCACAGGATCACCCGATAAGAACAGCGATGGACTTCGAAGTGCAAGGCAAGCGACCGCGAGGAGCCCCAAAGAAGAGGTGGAGAGATGTGATCAAGAAGGATCTAAGTGAAGTCATGGCCACAGCAGAGGACGCCCTGGACAGACTAAAGTGGCGACGACTGACAAAGACAGCGGACCCTGCGACTGCGCGGGACTAACGCTAGGGAGAAGAAGAAGAAGTGAATTACGAAGAAAGCGAGGAATGAACGGAAGCCGCCAAATTTCTATTAGCGACTAGAAAACATTACTAATGTGACGCTTTTTTGATCATACGGCGAACCATGCCGTAGACAGTTATGTAATGTTGCGATCCATAAAATGAATGGTATAGACAATTTAGGAATAGAGTCGCACAAGCAGGGCGAGATGCCGTTACCCCTGCCCTCAACGCTTTCTTCAATGGTGTCATCATACAATCACAACGGCGAATACCGAAATGGAACCCGGTTTCTCTGTACGATATCTCTACAGCAGCATATTAAGCCAAGTAGCGTTATCGAGTCGCGAGCAAGCATCCAAACAACCAAGCCCAGCAAGAGTGACTCTTTGGACAACACACGATGCGCAAGAAGAGACTGCTCCAATTTCAGAGGACTACGAGGGCCGGTTGGCACATCCGTCCCCCACCGACATTCTTGAACCCAAAAAAAGGACTTTCCCGGCGCTTTTGTTCGCAGGAGGGTACACATGAAGCATAGTGCCTGGCCGAAGCATGTGAATGTGAACCGGCGAATATTTTGAATGATTTCCCAGCAAGAAGCCTACCTCTTCATTGCCAACTTCCTGAACCCGAAAAAGCTGTCATGAAGCGATAAATTTGAGGTATGAACTTTGACTGAGTTCTTTGACTGAGTTTAAACACTGACCCTTTCGACAATCCACACTCCAATAAGGATCTCATCATACAATTTGATTCATTTCACAAGTGTGGCTTTCACTTAAGCATCCTAAAATAATCATTAAATTATTATTATTATTATTAGGATGCTTAAGTAAAAGCCACACTTGTGAAATAAATCAAATTGTACGATGAGATTTTCCCCTTTTTTAAAAAAAACTACGTTTAGGGAAAACAGTGCTGGATTGTTCGACATGCCCGGTTTTTTGGTTGGTGCGCGGAACTCAGTCAAAGTTCACACCTCGAATTTCATTGTCACTTGTGGCGTGTGATCTGCACTGGACGCCCTTTTCGTTTTTCGAACTGGAGGGTACCTAACGACCAGCCTGCGGCAAGGATGAGCCATCACGCCATGAGCGCGGTGACCTAGCCTCGTCGCATTACCACCAAGGGACCTAGCAGACATACTTTCTCGCATGATATGTTATAGAATTAAATATTTTAATTAGTGGGCGTAAGATGTTAAATGAGCATGAGCATACTCACTTCTTTTTGTAATGTTGAAGTTTCGCATACGACAAGATCGAGAGAAGGCGGTGGCTCGTCAAAGTCATCGGTAAGAGAGTCCGAGGATTCTTCTGCTTCATTATACTGTAACGTTCGCTTGGAATTTTCGCATTTTCATCTCATTCGGATTTTCTATTTTTCGAAAAATAGTAGGAAGAATTGTAATCTGCAAATGGTTCGTTTCGAACCAAGTAAAATCGCTTTTACCGATGACTATTATGTAATAAATAATTCTACTAAACTTCTAAGTCACAAAATATCCTAGTTATTTGAGATGCACACCTGAAATCCCATCTCGATCCAATCTGCAAGTAACGACATTATTTTCTCACTGTGTTGTTGTAATTTGGTTTCTAATGGCTTGTCTACGCAATGTAATAAATAATCACAATAAAGCAACGACGCATAGAACCAGCTTTCTCCTGGTTCCAGGAGACATCAGGTTGCACCAATCACTACACATGACTTCTTGAGACAATCTACCTAACTTGTTGCGCAGTAACAGTACAGTGGATATGTTCAGAATGTGGGTGATGATTTAGAGAGTATTCGCGCATCGATGGAGCCAACGATGTCTATGGGACAACTTCTACACATCTACTGTCGCTTAGTAACAGTAATGGTATTTTCAATTCTGGATGGCTTCGCGGTGCCAATCATTTCAAGGGAATGCGGAGAGTACGCCACCCTTCAAACGACTTGATTTGAAATAGAAAATAGGTATGCGAACTTACCATAGGGGGCTTGATGTCGGCGGAACTGCACTATTATTCTTCCGTGTGCTTGACGACTTCACCAAACTGAGACGAATTCTAACACAGGTCAACTTGTAAGAGCCGTATCGTAAATCTCAAGAACCAAAGGGTGAAAAGCTAGGATCCTTTGACGGATAGAAGGTTGCTTAAAGGTGTCTCAGTGTTGAATCAGGAGCACAGACGGGAGGGTGTAACCTCGGCTACAGATAGGACCATGGAGAATCATAGGCGACCGCCTAGCTTCCGGAAACCTTGAGAGCGAGAGAGGCAAGACTAAGTGTATATAAAACAATGTGACCAGTGAAGCTCGTACATGAACGGACGCGGAGGCCCGTCTAAACGCAAGCCGTGGAGCATCTGAAGGGGTTCGTGAGAGTGGACACTGTCCAGAACTACGAAGCCCTTTGGAAGTGAATAGTTGTTACTAGGCTCGATGTGGAGAATCAGTATGTTAATCACTTGATCTGTTGCAGAGAGAAAAACACTCCACCCTTAGACTACGACTTTGAAAGATATAAATATACGTACATGTTCTAGGCGCACGGGCAACACTGGGCCATGCAAAAGCTTACGGCATGCAGGCCGTGCAGAGGTTTCATCAGCATAGGAAAGACAAAATTTGAATCGAACCCCGGACCCTGCGCGAAGTAGCGGCCGCTCTTGCCGCTGCGTCACCCGTTCAAACTAGAAGTAGATCTGAGAATTGAAAATATTATCACCAATATCACATTGAGATAGTGCTAATTGTTGGTCTCAACCGTATAAGAGCTCGAGAACGATGGAATGAAACCTTGTGCAGAGCTCATCACAGAACCGCTGTTCCTGGCTTTGACATGTTATAATAGGCTCTTCTTAATAAGAAAACGACAGTGTTGTCAAAAACTTCCAATCTCGCCCCTTTTTATCCGTACCATCAGAATATTGGATTGAGCTCAGTAGTGTCGTTAGTAAGCTCCTCAAACGTTCATGTTTCATGGCCTGCCGCCTTCCGCCAAAGTCGCATGGGACAATCGTCATTCATGTTGTCGATTGTTTTGACTGCATGTCTGGAGCTGATGTGATAAATTAAGTAGAACACTAGACCACTGTAGGAAAGTATTAGGAAGACTTTGTGCACAGCTTCTGGAATTTTTTTTAGTTCACAAACACTGATCAGCAACTTACCCTGATAATTCACCTAGGAAAAACTCGTTTCACCAACAGTAAAAAAAGCATTAAAGAAATCGTCCGAGAAACCCTGGCTCTACCCTTTGACACCTTAGCCTTCCTGCTAACACGTGCAATGATGGAAGCGGGAACTAAGCGAGTTTCACGTCGGGCTACCCTTACACAGAAACTTACACATAGCCCCGTACGTGCTCTGCACTTCGTTGCAACAGCATTTTCGGTCCCGCCAATTGTAGCAGTTGCAGTCAAACAGATGAGCTATTCCAGTAGTTGTTTTCCTTCTAGTTTTTTTTTCTTGGAATTCTGCACATGATCCCTACTATATATAATGCGCTATGTCTGTGTGTGTCTGTCTGTCTGTCACGAAATTCCCTAGCTCCTCGGGATCCGCCTGGAGGGACCGGGTCAAGTGTGGGATGGGTGGGCAAGGTCTCACGAAGTACAAAACACACATCAGCTAAGCGGAGCCCCGCCCACAGTGGGCGTGGCGTGCGTCGAAATGAACTGTACTGAAGACCAAGATTTCAATTTCAGTGACAAAACAACCTCGAAACTGGGCCAAAAAGTGGGTAAAGGTGTGCATTGGTAAGTCACATCGAATTAGGGAGACCCACCCCCGGTGGGCGGGGCGTTCTCCAAAAAAGCAGTGCTTTATGAAAAATTTCATAACTCGGTTGGGAGAAAGCCTACAGAGCAGAAAACAATTGGTGTAGGGGAGCAATGTCTAAGGTGTTCCCAGCATACATGACGTGGGCGGAGGCCCGCCCACAATGGGCGGAGCGCGCTCTGAAGTGTACAGCATTTTCTACAAGTCCTCATAATTCGGGCCGGAGAAGTCTTAGTGAGCCGGAAAAAGGTGGATAGAGGTGGGTGGAGGAGTGGAGGCCAACTGTCATCGGTGGGCGGGGCATGACCAAAGTGGGCGGAGTTTGCGACGAAAATTCATAACTCGGCTCCAAGAAGTCCCGGAGACCGGGAAAAAGGTGGATAGAGGTGGGTGGAGGAGTGGAGGCCAACTGTCATCGGTGGGCGGGGCATGACCAAAGTGGGCGGAGTTTGCGACGAAAATTCATAACTCGGTTCCAAGAAGTCCCGGAGACCGGGAAAAAGTGATTGAGTTTGTCAACGGAAAGGAGGTCAACTGCTATTGTGCGAGAGGGATGTGCATCAAAGGGGCGGAGTTTTTGCCCAAAACTTTGTAACTCAGCTCCACCAAGTCCTCCTGACCGGGAAAAAAGTGCATAGAGGTGGGTGCAGGAGTGGAGCCCAACTGCCATTGATGGGCGGGGCAGGTCCAGAGGGGCGGAGTTATCCTTGAGACTTTCTAACTCGGCTCCAAGAAGTCTTGAGGACCGAGAAAATAGTGGATTGAGTCCGTCAACGGAAGGCAGATCAACCTAGAAGGTGGGTGGAAAAGCGTCGAACGAGGCGGAGTTTGTCACGTGACATTACAGGTAGTTAACCCTTTGACTACTGGTGGGACACATGTGTCCCACTTCGTAGTCAAAGACACTACCACAGTTCCAGGGAATATTGAGGCAGGAGGGCTCATTTGATGGCTGAACTGTGCACATATAGAAGCTTTCTAATTCCTACTATGACAATTAGTCGTCAGAAGCTAAAGCGAGTCATCCTGCGTAAGTTAATCTTTGACTACTGGTGGGACACATGTGTCCCACTTCGTAGTCAAAGACACTACCACAGTTTTGGCACTTATTGAGATCGGAGGCCCGCTTTATGGCGGAATTGTGCACAACTAGAAACTTGGTAATTCTTACTCTGTCAGCGAAGTATCAGAAGTATCAGCGAGTTACGCTGGATAAGTTGATAAGCAAGTCGTTCCACAGGTCCCTGGGCAGTGTGCACAGCTCCCGAAAAGGTAGTTTTCGAAGTTCTCACACTCTTTCTAACTTGTTAGAGGTTTTAATATTTCCCTCAATTATGTGAAAACAGGTGAAACGTAAGCAAACCGATGACGGATGGAGGTTTTTATCGGCCGCAAGCCAGCTAAAGGACGGCAGCCTTTTTACGACTGCGTCGGAAATTCCAACCTCCGGAGTTTTGTCAGTTCGTTTGATGCGGAAGTGGTAGTAGAACACTCCTATGATGACGCAGCTTTCGAGCATAAAAACCAGCGAAAATTCGTTAGAGGAGAAGCAGCCGGTGGGCGCAGCCTGTAGGCAGGGGAGCAGCACTTCTACAAAGTGCGGCTTGCACTTTTTTTTCAAGTGTGTTCCCAACTGGACATTGCCTTCTTCCACGAATGAGATGTGACAAATGTGTATTTTTTGAATAGGTCCTTATTGAACCTATTCCGACAAATAGCGCATCTCGCAGCGAAGTTATTACGAGATGGTGTGGTGACAGGAGGGCCACTGCCGCGCATATGGTCTCTGGATCGAATCCCAGCCAAACCCAGCGCGCGTCAGCCAAATTTCCACAGAAGATTAGTTGTTGCTAGGAGCGACTGTTACTACACAAAACACATCGATAACTTGTTTCTAAAAAAGTCGTAGTCTAAGGGTTAAACGGAGCCGCAAGGCTGGGAAAAGTGGATAAATTTTGACGAGAAGGAATGGGGCCAAATGCTATTGGTGTGACTCCACCGAGGAATTTGCGAGTTTCCACGGTGGGCTATAAAATATATCAATGGCCCTGTTGCAAACCAATGCAGTCCCGTGTGATGCACGCGAATGCGTGCGCAGCTAAACTGGTCTTCTATGATCACGAACAACATGTTCAAAGCAAAGAGCATACGAGCAAAGAATTAAACAGTTTTTTCGTAGACGATTCCCTCAGGGGAGGATCCCACGATAAGGTCGGAGGTCCACTGAAGGAAAAGTTGAAATATATCAATATATAAAGTTGATAGGCAGATAGGCCCTCTAAGGCTTCGCTGCGCGACGATGCGTGTCCTCGCAGCAATGACTCAGCCTCTAGCGGCATAACATAGCCACACTCACGTCGCGAGACACTCACCCTCTTGCCTTCTGACTCTAGCCGTTTAGCAGAGAGAGCGTTAGCGCCAAAGCGGGAGGCAAGGAGTTGCGCCAACTCGAGCCATTTTTTCTTGGTCTTTTCTTCATTCATGCATCTCCTTCTACTTCCTTCTTGGTTTCTACGGGCCGCCTTTTCGTCATGAACATCGCCTTCGAATGTTTCTGAGGTAGTGACTAAAACAAGAACCAGAGGCAGCCTTGTCGCAACAAAGTATTTTTTGGTACTGATCACCTATTGGTTCACTAACGAATATCAGTCAAAGTTATTACTTGAGACCAGGCAGGACTTTCCTCAGCTAAAGTCTAAAGAGTTGTGGTCAGATATTAAGGATTTATCTCACCAGGTACCATATGTATCATATCTTTACAAACCCGGCTCAAGTAAGAATTATTTATCTGCTGCTGTTCGGAGATATTTAGCAAATGCTAAGTTCGACTGCAGCCTGATAACCGGTTTCAGGCTGATTGAAGAGGCTTTTTGAAGCGCGCATGAAAATTAAACATGGCAAAAATACATACAGGGATCTGCTCTATAAGGTTAACCACTTCCCACGAAGTACCATCAGAGACATGCAATTTTATGACCGTCACTTCACAGAGGAACGGCGAAGCTGTGCGGTCGTGGTCAAAATCTTTAGATAAGGCGCCTTTTACCTTTCTTCACCCCAGCAGAAAGCGCTAAAATGTGGCAACTGAGAAATTGGTGCTAGTTGAGCATATGAAATAGCATACCATTTTGTTCCGTTGATTCAAATCCGACTGAGATTTCGGCTTGAAGGACGAGATGAACTTTTTCGCTTTTCTCCAATTTTCGTAACGCGACTCCTCCAACCTGGCCGCCTTGAGATCACCCACGGACCGTCCTTTGCTGGAATAGGGTAAGTAGATCATATCATTCCGCCTGGAAGCTGATAACTTGCCAACCTTGTCGATGGCTTATCCATGGCGTGTACTAGTGCAAGTTCCGATTTTCTTCGATAGCCATGGCTTGGCGAACGCATGGAAAACTGTTTCTCATCTGGACCTGCAGTAGAGTGGTATAAACGCTGTAGATAGCACGACGCGATGTTCTCAGTTCGGAGCAACTTTCGAATTATTTGCTAAGGATACTTGATTCTGTTACAGATTCTTCGACGCAGACATGCTCACCTTTTCTGAGCTGGGCTGACTGCTGAGCGTTGATATAGTTGGGTAGACTCTTACGATGTATAACATTAGCTGAAGAACTTGGAATTGTCGTGGCAGCTGTGTAACAATAATTGAGTTTCTTTTTCACTTACCCAGTCGATTTTGTGTTATGCTATCTTTGTTGTTGAGATTTTCGTACGCAGTCGTCACAGCAGGCTCGAACCGGCTGGCCTTCCTTGATGTGGCATACACTGAAGAAGAAAGCCTCCATGAGACTGCTGATAACTATTTTATAAATTCTGGCTCACATTCAAAAGGTTATATTTGAAGGTGTGGCCCGAAGAAGTGAATTTCAAGATTTGCTGAAGTGCCTAGTGTACCGGGATGCTGGGCCCTAGAGGGCCGGAACGTGGCACTTTAGCGGCGCAATAATGTTTTACCAGTCCATCTGGACACCTCTGTAGCTTCTTCCCGCCCTCCGATCGGCCGTCCGTGTCCTCTCCGTCCAAGTCCTAGTGTTTTTGAGGGGAAACCGAGCAGAGACGTCATGCTGATGACGTCAGCATCTTTAAGACTCGTCCAGCGCGGAATCAACGGGAAAACAAGAGTCCCGCTTTGCTAATTTTAGATCGTTTCCATGATTTTTCATCATTGTCGCAGCTCTTTCATTTCCAACAGGCGAACATCTGCTCTCAAATGAAGGACCATACGGCTTCACTGAACTCTCCGCTAGCTAAGGAACCCATTCAGTGACAAGTTGAATCATACAGGAGATAACTGAGATGGTGATGAAATATTCACTTCTATAGTCTTTGTTGGAACGGTCAACCACCCGTTTCAAAAGGTTGGACGAAGTAGGATTCCTTATGCAGGTAATTGGCTTTATTCGGCGAATAAAATCATGTAGCGAGTTGTTACATACGTGTTCAATGCGAATAGCCGCCTCTTCTCACGTACCGAAGAGCGAGTAAATAATTCTATTGAGACGCTGGCGACCGTATGCGGATTACCATCCATATTCTTTTTTTCTTTTTTCTGTCTTCCAAATTCGAGATAGCGGACGATGTTGTGTGCGCTATACTCTGGCTAATAGATTCGGTTGAGACTGTCGTGTGTTCAACTTATTACTTATGAATGTCGCACGGCTCAATCCTCTGCTTAGCTACCACTGGTCAATTACCATCGTATTGGAAATCGCAGTATATACAGGTGACCAAAAAAAAAAAAAGAGCACTGACTCCATTTAGACGCATAAATCACACTTTACTAGAATCAAATCGACTGACCTAATCAGTATTCGGAGCACTTCTATTCTAATAAACTTATCATGTGCTTCTACACCGACATCAGAAGATTTTCACACGGAAACATGGTTCACAGTATGAGCTCAACGGGGTCGACGAGGTACCATAGACCATTACGACGTCCGTGAAATGCTGGTCAAAAGCGGTTTTGCATAGTCACAGCTAATGTCTCTAGGAAGCTATTCAGCAGTTAATCTATTGAAGAAATTATGAAGCAGCTTCAGGCCGGAGCGATTACGGTAAGCCTCGTTGAGCTCGACGGTGGCGGCAGATGACGTCATATTCTGAAGACGGCGGCGGACAGTGAAGGAGGGCCTGCTTCTGTTTACGGGGGAACACCTTAGGAATATTTCACCGTAAAACTTTCATTAACACCGGCACCCTGTGCAACGAAATGTTCGATGATGTCCATGGGCAAAGTGTCTCTTTTTTTGGCCACCCCTGTATATTGGCAGAAGCAACCAATCTGTGCTCTGCAACTGCAGGTTACTATTCATGATGTTTTAATTAGAAATCCCTATTCGTCACTGGAGTTACGGCTGTTGAGTCGATCATTGTCGTGAGGTCAGTTCGCTTCAGTGAACACGCTTGGCAGGGTCCTGACGGAGGTCTCGCTTGCTTCGCGGGGACGGGGTTGTAATTGAGGGTTTTGGGCAGTCCTACGTGACGACAGTTGTATGGCGAAAAATAAAATAGTGGCCTTTATCGTAAAATTGGCTGTTTCAGCAGTCGCAACAATTTGGAGGAATTTTGTGGTTGGAGTGAGTGCTGAGTGGTTCGATGACGTGCCTAAATCGGCCGTGAGAGTGTCGTACTTATCATAGGAGTAGACCCAGGGTCAACCGTCCGTTCGAACTGTTCGAACGAAGGGGCCGCATTTTGGTCAAAAGGGGGTCGCAATTTCCAGGACTGCCAGCCACAGGCGCTATTCATTGGGGCTGTGGCGGGCGTATCGGAGGAGTAGATTGTTTGATGCATGAGCGCTGTTGATTATATTATGCACAGAGAGACAGTTTTAGGCAAATTACGGTGTTTTCCTTGAGGAATAAAGAACAGTTGAATGCATCCCTATGAAAGGTTTGACTTCTCGGGGCTGAAATTAAAGTTCTTCGGGACCTGATTTTCTGAGGACGATTCTTCCAGACAACGGTAAAACATAAGAAAGCAGAAATCTCGTAGTCTTCAAAAATGTCTTCGCCCCTCCCCAACAAGTTCTTTGAAGGAAGTTATTATTGCTGAAAGTCAAAAACTCGCATGTGCTGCTCAAAGCTAAGGACAAATGTTCAACTGTAGTGATGTCTCTGGAAAATGATTTTGAACATTTAAACGTTCAGAAGGGCATCTTGCATTCCACCCCATAAAAAAGGCCAGGAGAAAATGAAAATGTGAGTTATGGCCGCTGAAAGCCCAAAAACTCGCTTTTGCACGAAAAATGTTCGAACGGGACAATTTTTTGAAAAAGGGGACAATCACTAAACTTTTTATACTGTTTTGTTAGAGAAATATTTGAAGTTTCTGAAACTTTTTACAGATTTCCAAAATGTCGCATACGAAAGATTTTATGGGCCTTCAAAGTTGAAGGTGCGCCTTCTTAGAATTTTGGGTTTTCCACTTCTAACAGAAGTACTTTCCGGAGAGTTAGGCAATCCTTGTAGTTTTCTGAAGCGCACCTCAGGCACAGTCAAAATCTACCTCAACAAGCAAAAAAAATACGTCCCAAGAAAGTTATTCCCCTCTAAAATTTTTTCTTCGCCGCGTCCCGTTCTTCCAGCGCCCGGGTGATACCTGCCGCGCTCCAAGGCCGACGCGACGACGCGCAGACTTTCTGGCGCAACGGATTCATGTCTAGCACTCTTATTAACAAAAACAGGGGGTCGCAACTGGACCCCCTCGAGAGCTAGGGGGTCGCAAAAATCCCGAAAATGTTCGAACGTGACGGTTGACCCTGGTCGAGCGCGCGGAAGGCGGTTAAGACCTCCGTAGAGGATGCTGTTTGTTAGCATTTCTCGGCGGGATTTCATCCTGGGGAACTTTAACTAACACGACAGAGTGTTCATTTGGAGGAAACTTCTATCCCTATATTCCCATATTAGAGCTATTCTACAACGTGGTTCGATAGATCTCACAAATAACTAACTGTTCTCTGTCATTCCTCCACGCTCTCGATCCAGAATCGGTTTCGAAACACTATGCCTGCCAATGTTCACATAGTTTACAGCGGGTTCATCTCGAGTCACTGGCGCTTTTGTATTGTGGTAGAACGCCACTGAAAATTTCCCTTTCAATTGCTCATAATAAATTTTTCATGATTACTGCAACTTACGTGAATTCGCTCGTGCAAGATTGCTGTGAACTTTGGGGCCACTAGCAGCTCCTACATGGAATCTGAAAGAAAAAACCATTTCATGGAAAAAGTACCATGGTAATGGCAACCCGATTGTGAGGAAATTTCTGCAAACAAGTCATTTGGTAATGGTACATATGATAGGTTGAGTCATTAAGTTTCATGGTAAAAGGAAGTATAAATATTGTGCGCACAAGTGGTCTCATAAAAGGAGATGAACTGTTCTGTAACGACCGCGTACTCGGATTGAATTCGTTTTCAATTGTAATAATTTGCACTGAAGCCATGCTTCGGTGTATATTTTTTATGCTTGAATGTATCGATATGCTGATTGGTCGGATAAGATCTCAAAGCTTACAAAATTTGCAGTTCAGGTAATTTTTACTTGTCCCTTATATTGTGACATTACTAATTATAACAGATATTAAGCAAGCTCTAGGCAGAGTGTTGTGATGTGTACAGGGAGGGGAGCAAAAAGCAGATTTATTCTTGCCACCCCTAATACACCTCACCATGTCTTTCGATGGAATAACTAACGTAATGGTAAATCCTATATTTCTGCTTTTTGCACATGCGAGTTATGATTCATCTTTTCAATTTATGTGTTCTCAACTGGAGAGATTATACAGTGTTTTTCAGCTTACCACCACCTTCATTATTGAAATTACTCCGTATCATTTACGTTTTTTTTTCGCATTCATTACCCAAATAAACCGATGCAAGGTGGGCGTGCTCGCAAAGTCGCTGGACAAAATGCAAAAACACTTGATCGTCCACATGTTAAAACGAAATAATTCATAGAAGTATAGCAGTAAGTCATACCCTGATTTCGACTTCTCCTTGTCTAGGTTGACCCGTTTGGACTGCTTCGACTGCTCGATATTGAAGAAGTTGAACAATCCGCTGAGAGTATGAGAGAATTGTGATTCTGTGTCCGCTTGCTCTATTCGTTTTGGGACCACAAAATCGGGCATCCAATCACCTTCCGAATTTTTCTTGCTCAGATATCGATGCAGACCTCTCTGAAATGAAATCTGGTTTTTCACTGATAATTCACATACTTAATTGAGAAGACGTAACAGAAAAAGTTTTCAGGACAAGAACCTCCACAAAGAGTCGCCAATCTTAATTATGCTAGGTGCAGAGTAAGCAGGCTAGATTTATTTGAGAAGTATCTTCTTTGTTGGCAAGTGGCAATAGCTACCAGAGGAGCAAGGGCTTTATTACTGCCTGAAATTCTGGTTGCATGTCTTATGAGGGTAGAAAGCTCAGTGATCGTAAGACCTAGTAAGCAATGAAAAGAAGCTTATTGCCTAAAACATCATGTAGCTTAGTGGAAGTACGCAGAGGTTTCGGAGGAAGTTTCAGAGCTCCAAGCAAAACGGCCGTTTCGTTTTGTTTGCCGAAACCTCATTGACTCGGTGGAATATGTACTGGCTCGCATATGTTTAACACGTGTGACATAAGAGAAAAACGTCTGAATGCTGGAAAATGTCACATTTGTGGTGTGTTTCAATTCCAGTAGTGATCAGCCGCTAAAGGAATCGAAAAATTTAGATCAACCACGAGAAAAAGCCTAACCTCTCTCATAGCCTTTGTGAGCATACGTTGAAATGTCTCGCTACGAGCACACATGAACACGAAACATTCGTCTGAACTGGACTGGGACGGCTGTATGGTGACCATGTTCTTGGAGTCGACGTTGATTCTAGCGAAATGAATATCGCAGTAAAGTAGCAGCTTCTGCGGCCGACCATAGACGATCGCCATTCGAGAATCCTGCAATCGGCTTGTGTTTGAAACCGATCTCTCGACGGCATTCGAGACACGTCACTATCAAAACTTCCTCTTTTACGATGGAATCGAATTGCGTAAAAGTTATGAGAGCTTACATGTAGATGACATCGTACTTCTTTGTACAAAACCGAGGCGAACTCAGGCCTTTGAGGGGCGTGATGGAGTTGCATGTAGAAGCAAGTACCTGAAAGTATTCGGTATTGTTTTCTGCCATCTGAGTTGACGTTGACATCTTTTCATCGTTCCAGAATCTAGATTGGAAGAATTCTGGAACATTCAAGGAAAAGACTTTACACCTGGGTGGTCACGTAACAGCAACATATACTTGTACCATTCCAATGAAGTATTATTCGCCATACAAATCTGACAGGTGCGATCTTGCAGCGCTCCGTCAACTTTGTAACGCGCTTCAACTTTCTTCTAGCGACGTTTTCATTTTTTCTGGCTGACTTTCTACATCACGCTCTGAACCGGTATCATATTCGTGATCTACGGGTCAAATTACCCCTGAAGGCAAGTTTCTAGCAAAATCCACAGTCATGGACGAATTTCGATCAAAATCCGGCTCAGTTCTTGAGGAGTGGGGCAGTAAAGGGTAAATAGTGCCCAAGTTTTCTTATTATCTGGACTA